TTCAAAGTATGGACCAATAACCGAATGGGTAAAGTATCCCCACAAAATTATGTGCCCACAGCCATGCATACCCGATTTAAGAGAATACCTGGGTCATGAGAACTAGTATTAAGATGCCTAATATGAAGTTCCCCAACAAATATAAGCCATTTGACCTTAGTTTCATATGACTTTAATATATTTATCTAACTTGAACGACATAAATGCACCTTCTCGAAATTTTCTCGGTTTATAAACTTTTTTTTGGAAAGTAATGGTATATTTTTTGAGCCATATGACCTTTTAAACGGACATCAATCAGCCTATTCCTTATAGTACGACTACTTACCCGAGCATTAAGATAATTTTTTAGATCTACCGACGATTGAAAGGTTTTTTTTGGATTTTCGAACAATGCGCCTGTCTAAATGAACAGAATACCTCAGGAATAGGTATTTCATATCTTCTTTTGTCTCTAGTCGATGAAACATTACCTCTATAATTTGATTTCAACTATTTTATTACAATATAAAAACAAAATTTGAATGCGTTTCTATTATTTTTTCCAAGACAAAAACGTGGTTTTCCTACAAATTAGTTTACCCACCTAATAATTTTTACGAAAGAAGCCCAAGAGAGAATCCAAAATAAACACCCATTATCCTGAAACCAAGCACAGTTGATTTCATTGAAAAAATTTGCTCCAAAAATTAGATATTTGGTTTCAAATTTGAATGCGCATGCCGTTTCTATTATTTTTTCCATCACTGATCTGATCGAGTACTTAGAATCGAAACAGAGAGACGGGCTACGTGGCTGTACTATCAACTCGGGTGTTAATGTTGATTACCATTGTAATCAATAATAAGTGTGTATGTATTAGAGTCCTGCGTGGCTTCACACACAATTACAATCTAAAGATGGTTATAGACCAGAGGTGGGCACGCCGTGGCTCTTTTCGTTATGTGCTATGGGAGACGCCAGCAAGTCGTCCCAGACGGTAGTCGCTCGCGTTCAGCGATCTGTGAAACTTTACATAAACAATGCCACTGAAATTTGAAGTCAAAGAGGCGGCAAAGCGACGGTGGTGGTTGTTGTTTTATTTTTGTCTGGCTGCGCATTGGCTCTCCTGCACACGACTGTTCTAGACTAGGGGTCGGCACGCATACACACTCATGTTTTAGTGAGTTTGTGTGCGAAGACAACAGACACTCATTTCTCTGAAGCTGCGGCAGCCGAGCAATTGTGCACAGGCCACACGAAATTGGTTCTCTGCCGATGCGGCAGCCGAGCCGAGCCACACAAAGCTTATACGTGTGCCGACTGCGCTGCCAGAAATTTTTTTTAAGGTGCATCTAAACGATGCAGCGGCTGCACGGCAGCATACGTGCGAAGTTTACGATCTCATTTCACGCATGCAATCATAATGCATGCATGCAATCAATCTGTCTGACAAAAGCTGCTTGCAAAATGCTGCAGAGTGTGAACAATGCGTGCAGCCTCACAGACGTAAAAACTTCATGTGCAGACGCTGCACCGTCTAAAACCACCTTAAAATAATAAACTCGAATTGAATTGAGTGCCACGCACACAATGAAACGAGTCTATATTAATGTGAGTGTGTGTTGAGTTTCACAGTACTCGGCGTTCTGTAATGAGTTAGAATCAGGGACCGTAATCATAATAAGCTATATTTTAAAAATCACACAATAATAATTTTGTTTAAGTTTTTAAGATAATCATTATTGATAATAATTATTTGTATTAATTATTATTAATAATTATCCATAATAATGTTTGAGCAAAAAAGTGAAAACTCAAATATAATGTTTAAATTTTGAGTTCTATTTTTTCTCAAAAATAAAACTCAAAGTTAAATAATGAAAACATCATGGTGAGCTGGAAAAAAATGTATACATATCCTTACTAATTCAGTCAAGAAAAAAACCATAAACAGGTTTTTGGATATGTATAACAAAATTTTTTTAAATTTTTATAAAAATATGTAGGGAAGAGTTTTAATACATATTAGTTTTAACCAAGTCAACACTGTAAAAAAGATTAAATCTAAAAAAAACTGATTTTAATGCGCTACTTCACATGCAAGCAATGTGCTTCTGATTGTGATGAGTAATTTGCAAATTCTCGTCTTTTTGTTTCTTTCCAATCCAGTAGATATTCACCAAAAAATAACGAAAAGTTGGGAAGAGAAGAGGTTAAAGTATCCCAATTTTTTTAAATTGTATATGGTTGTGCACTCTATTCCTGCAACTCGAGTCAGTGTAGAGAGAACGCTTGCTGCTTTGAAATCGGTGCTAACAGACTGGGATGCAACCTCTTACCGGAGTCTTTGCAAAAACTTATTTTTGTAACATTAATAAAAATAATTCATTACGGAAAAAAATGTATGTATTATTAAAAAAAAATCATATAGATTTTCCTAAAAACAAGTTTTTGTCTTTTGTGTTTTGTGTTTGTCTTGACTCACTTATCAAGGTTATGCAATGCAATTTAAGTCAAAATTGAATCATTATTTTTGAGTTTTCCTTTTTTTTTTTTGCTCAAACATTATCATTATGGATAATTATTATTAATATATAAAAATGAATCCCTATTTCCCTTGGTCCCGGCATCACGCGTGAACGGCTAGACCGATTTCGCTAATTTTTTTTTATACCCGTACTCAAAAAAGAGTTAAGGGGTATATTAAATTTGTGGTAAAAGTGGATGTGTGTAACGTAGAGAAGGAAAAGTTTTCCGACCCCATAAAGTATATATATTCTTGATCAGCATCAATAGCCGAGTCGATATAGCCATGTCTGTCTGTCCGTCCGTCCGTCTGTCCGTCTCGATGAGCGCCTGGATCTCAGAGACTATAAGAGCTAGGGCAACCAAATTTGGTTTCCACACTCATGTGATATCACACTGCTACAAGTGTATTTCAGAATTTCGCCCCGCCCCCTTCCGCCCCCACAAAGGACGAAAATCTGTGGCAGCCACAATTTTAAAGATACGATAAGACTAAAAACGCAGTATAGTAGAGAATGCCCATATCTACCAGATTGCCGAATCTGAATCAGATCGGATCATAATTATAGCCAGAATGAAGAAATTAATTTTCAGTTGCTTCCCCTCCCCCTCCTCGCACAAACGACAACGCAACTCATTTTCCTTCTCGCTCGCACACTCTGCCGCGCTCAGTGCGCGAGCAACCCCTAGCGGAGGAGATGTAGAATCTAAATGGTACATGTAGAATATACATGTTAGATGTATAATATACATTGTAGATGTAGATAGCAGATGTAGCAAAAAAATGTTAAATTTTTTTTTTTTTTTAAGTTCTAAATAATTATATGCTTAAAAATGTATATGCTGACTGAGTACGGGTATAAGTAGAGTCGCGTCCCCAGAAGCGACTCACACGTTCCTTCTCGTTTTTATTGTGTTTGTTATTGTCAGAAGGTTTTAATGAAAGAAAAAATTAAGAAAATTGCGCGGAAAAATATAAAATTTAAGAATACTCGGAAAATGTTAGTATTGTTGTGTTAAGTGTTACATACATCAAAAAATAGATTCAATCGGTTTAGAGTGTTTATATAGTACAGATGAAATAATCTGTTTAGAATGATTTGGCTAAGTGTTTAAAAATAGTTTAAAAGTGCTGAATAAGTCGGAAAATTGTGCGGAAAATGTAGAATAAATTTGTGATATGTTTTGAAAATTTTTTTGTGTGTGTGGTGGAGGAAGTAGGCGGGGCGAAATTTTGAAATAAACTTGTAACAGTGTGATATCACAGTCTGGAAACAAATTTGTTTCCTCAAGCTCTTATAGTCTATGAGAACTAGGCGACAAACGAGACGGACATGCCTATATCGACTCGGCTATTGATGCTGATCAAGAATATATATACTTTATGGGGTCGGACACGTTTCCTTCTCTGCGTTACACACATCCACTTTTATCAAAAATACAATATACCCCTAAGCTCTCTGAGTACTGTTATAAAAATATATTCAATATTTACGGTTCCTGGTTAGAATGAAGGATGTTGGAAAATTTTGGCGGTAGTAGATACTTGTCTATTGTCATGAAAACCAAGGAGTGCAGATGTAACGGGATTTTCCGTTGTCTATTGCTGTGCAGAACTTATTTGAATTCGTGCCACTTCGATTAAAAGATGTGCGAACGAGCCTTATGTGAGCGCATTATTTTACTTAAACTTTATCGGCACCGAATTCTGTTTCTCTTTGAGCATTGTTGATTCGAAATATTGTTTTGAAATTCGTGCAGACCGCTAGTATCAATGCATGCATCCTTCTTTCTGTGTTCAACAAACATCTGGTTCATATACATATGTAGTCTGTAAAGTATAAATGTGTGAATTTTTTCATCAGTTAGGTAAGAAAGTATTTCTATATTTAATATTATAAACATAAAATCATTAATTTAGGAATGTGTGAGTAAATATGTACATCTGTGTATTTTGATTACTGTATAATCGTTTAACATAGAAAATTGTGCATATCATGAACATTGTACGTATTGTATTTCCCGTGACTCTGAATTGTTTTTTTCAGACGTATTTTAATTAAAAGTCGAAGTTATATATTTATTCATTTATTCATATGCAATGGAGCTTAGCAATATCATTATAAAAGGACAAGAAGATTATCAGTAAGTACTAGGCCAGTAGGTATACTTACTATATTTAAGAATCCTATCATTGTCCTTGTCGAAATTCATATACATATATTAAATTGTTAAATAGATATTTAAGATATTCCACCGTTTAAATAATATAAAACGGTGCTATCGGCTATCAGTTATAAAAACACTGTAACACACATTCAAATTTATGAATGTACATATGTACCTATGTATATATGTACATTATAAACACGAATTCAATTTTCTTATCTGCAAGCAAAGACACTATGCGACCCGACAAGACAATTTTGCCTTATTTACTCAGTTTTTAAACTTGGAAATAAAGAAATAAATATATTCTCTAGTAACCATACCAGTTTAAACTATGGAAAACTGTAATAATAATTACTCATTTAAAAAAAAAAATTAATATTCTATTGACATATGAACAGTGACTGATGTTTTGTAGCAGACTAAAGGTCAAAATAGTGATGTAAGAAGTGCACCTATAAACTATCGTACGTTCAAGTGAGCGTCAGGTTGAAACAGTGGAGTATGAATACAAAAAATATATTGTCAGGCAGGCTCCGGCTCTCACTTTCGTACAACTTTCTGCCTATCAGCGCAACTATCACCACTAATAGCTATACGACATTAGACTTAGCAAATTTTGCTGCGAAGAGAGGGATAGCATGAGAGACAAAATGCAACATTATTATTTGTAGCCGTCTCTAGACACGTCTAAGGGCTTTCAGTCGAACAAATGAGGCACTATTTGATACAAAATTATGTTTTCAAGAAAAACACTGCCACCAAGCCAGCAAAATTGTATCTGCAGAGTAAAACAATGGATAAATTGTGGAGCAGCGCTGCTCCCAGCTCAACTGCGAAGCCATTTTGACGCATATACTTCTCTCGCTCTGACTGCAGGCATTTCCCATAAGGCCATCTCTAGTTTTCCAGCTAGTCAGTTATAGCCTTTTCACACTGGCGATCATCACCCATCCACTTCTAAGATGGTCCGTCAAGTTTTGCCGTTAAAATATTTCCCAGTTATTCCACCATCCATCTGCGATTTTCCTAACTAGCAAGTTTCAATGCGGTATTTATTCGATAATTTTCATATGCAACCAAAAATAATTGTCATTCAATACGAAAAAGTGACGTTCACTGCGAATATGTTGATATAGCAATATAGCGCCGAGTTCTCAGAGACTATAAGAGCTAGAGCAGTTTCCAGACTCATGTGATATCACACTGTTAAAAGTGCATTTCAAAATTTCGCCCCGGCTCATTCCGCCACCACAAAAGACGAAAATCTTTGGCATGCACAATTTTAAAGATTGCCTTATTTGGTTCAAATCGCATCATTATTAAAGCCAAAATGAAGATTATATTTTACAGTGGCTAAGCCTTCCAGCGCTGCAGCGCTTATCGTTCTCTCTTTCGTTCGAACATGTATATTCAACATTGCAGATATAAATCCTACTCTGTAGATGTAGGTGAAAGATGTAGCAATAACAATATTCCACATAAATCATAAGCTCACATATATACTGACTTAGTACGGATATAAAAGTTGAGTCGCAGCTACTGCAGCGACTCACAACGTTCCCTCCCCTTTTTAAATTTATTTAACCTCGGGTTGCGGAGTAATTGCAAATTGTCTTGTCTTTAAGGTAGTTTTGACTGCTATTTACATTGTGTCTTAAGATGTATGAATTATGATTTCTGATGGCGTGATATATGTTTGTTGCCTTAGGGTAGATAGGCTATGAGTATTGGTTGGGGATAGATAGTCGATCGGATTTGGGAGAGGAACATCTTACTCTGGTTTGTGTATAGTGGGCACTCTTCGAATATCTGACGTACCGTTATATTTTTGTTGCACCGTCCACACTACGATAATTTTTGTTTGTTTATGTATGTGTGTGTATTTTGTATATTTAAATCTTAATCTTAGTAACTTTATCATATCAAATCTGTCGAGGTTGTCTTGTGGAGTTGAAGTGTAGTTTCTTAAGCCTAGTACTCAGATCCAAAAACTGTTTGCTATTAAACAAATGTCATATATTCTTCTAGTGGCCAGTGGTGTGACCAGAGGTGTGCACTGCATTCCGTACGGTTACACTGCTCAGACAGCTGCTTGGTTTTGTTTAAAGTTAATAAAATGCACTTCTTCGGCTGGGGTTGCTCTTCCCCAAGCATATCCTGGGCTCCCCAATATTTTATTGGCAAGGTAATGTGTCTGACTATCAGCAGCAGATGATGGCGACGCCTCCCGTGCCGACCACCGTGAAGACAAAATGTTTTGAAAACAATATTTATGTAAATTAATAAAAATAATAAATTATAATATCCATATAATTGTCATTCATATAATACTGCATTATTTAGATTCTATTTGTCTTCAGTATTTAAATATTTCGTTTGTTTTTTTATTCTCATATTGCAATGTTTGCTTCATGTTTGCTGGCAAAATATATCAAATTGATATAACTTACGAGGTGGGTAAAAACATACCAGCAATACAAGAAAATACTTCGGATACTTTTCTAGTATATACCGCCTTTTTTTTTGTTGATCTGAGTACTGCCTTCCGTACAGAGCCTAGAAAACAGTTTTTGCCAGACAAAATTTCTTATCGGATTCTGTTCGCGAGGTGTGTTTTCGGATTGGAGTACTAGACTTTATCGGTTTCATACGAATATCAACCCTGATTCTGTTCACGAGATGTTTTTCGGATCTGAGTACTAGGCTTTAATTTCTTTCTTTGGGTTATTTTCTTGTAATGTTCCGAGGTCCTTTGCCATATTTCCATGCATGTATCTTAATAATCTCTTGATGTAACTTTGTGTGTCTTTGGGCTTTCTTAGCACCTGAGTCAGCTGGATCATTGCAAGTTATGTCCGCGTGGCCTGGAATCCACAAAGGTATTATATTTGAGTGTTGATGGTTTAGGTTTTAATTGCAAATTAATTTGCGAAAAAGCGCTCGGAGTATGCATGGGTACTAGTGCTCGTGATGCCCATGAATATCATCCAATCGTGTAATAAAGAATAATAGAAAAAAAAAACAAATGTCAACGTATAAGAGCACCAGCTCCGTAAAGAGCACAAGCACTTTAACCAAAGTCAAAATGAGCTAAGCCCGGCAACAGCAACAAAACGATCGTCGGCTTTCGCAAGCAAACAAAAATTCACTATACGCTCGCAAAAGGTAGCAGTACCAAAAAAAACTGCATCACTGCAAGTGAACGAGGAAAGAGCACGCTCTCTCCCCTGCATTGCAAAGTGGGTCATGTGGTGCTCAGTACCCATTCCCCGACTCGTACTGCCTAACCAAAGATTTGATAATATCGACAACAGCTGGTACAATACCCTCGCTCAAAACTGTGTCTTCGACCATAGCAACGACAACAACCACAACAACAACCACTGCAATTGCAAAGCGCCCGGTATTGTCGACCCACTGCGACAAGACCCACCTTTCCCAACCAATAAGTTCGAAAAATGCTAACGAAGCGTTAATTCAGACTGGGCTCGATCACTATGTGCAAATCAAAAGAAAATTGAGCCCACAAACTGCGAAGAACGATGCAGCTTAAATAACTAAAATAGCCGAGAGCACTGTGCCACATAAGGATCTAGCAAACAATATATTTGCGATACTAAGTGTCCCAAATGAAGATGAGATCGCCCAAACACCCAAAGCCAACAAATTAAGGCCGCCATCTATTTATGTTCCTTAGGCAAATTGTGCTGAATTGGTCAAAAAAATTACTGATAAAATTGGCGCAAATACATTCTATGTCATGTCCATTCTCGTTCGTTCTCCTTCGTAGTAATCAGACGTTTTTTTTTTTCGCTCTGCATTTTCCTTTATTTTACTTAAGCAGCAGGTGTTTTATCTATAAATTAACTCTCTAACTAACGTCCCTTTAAATCAATCTTTACCGCGGGTGCATGCCAAATAATTGTGTAAAAACACAACTTATTTGATTAATTTTGTGCGTCGGTTAGTCGTGTGTTTGTGTTGTTGCTTTTCGTAAGTACGCCCTCTCATTACATTTATCCGGTCTTTGTCGTAGCTTCGTAGCTTTTGACGTCTATCACTCTCTCTCTATCACCTAACTCTCAATAACTGTTCTTTCTCTCTCGCTCTCGTAATTTTCAGTAACGCTATCACTTATAAGCTATGGCTGCAACCACTCTCCTCTCTCGTCTTATTTTTACCGATTTCGCTTTAAGCATCGCTTTAAGCATTTGCTCTGCACATTGGTCTGATTGCTATTTGTTTTGAACTTTTTTTTCTCGAAAAAAAAGAAGTAAAAGACATCATTATGGAATTTTCTGTCGTCTGTAGTTTTCAGGTTTGGGCCATTGGTGAAAGTCAGAGTCCATTTAGGCTCTGAGCTATCCATTGCCATAGATGGTATTTCTGACTCCATGCTAATAGGAAGCTAGGTTCGAAGGCGCGCATTCTTGCTGTGCTCGGGTCCAGCTCGTCGGATTGGTCGGGGTTCTTTCTCCCCCAGCTACAGAGTTTTACTGACACAAATCAATAGAATGCGCTTTGAGAATCATACACGGAATCTATACGTTATTAACAATCCAAAACAAAAACAAAAAAATAAGCTGATTACAAATCTGCGCCGATACGCATTTAGGAAGCTGGTAGAAGAGATATACATCTTCTTTCGTCTGATAATGGAACAGTGGAGGTAATTGTCCCTAGTCTTTACCCTCCCGACCATGACTAACACATATATCTTTGTGCGTTGTCCCAATTCAAAGATTCTACATATTCTACGGCATCTTGCGAGGGATAAGCATAAGTACTCGACTAACGGAGATAATAATTAGCTTAGGCAGACATATTCATGAATAATAAGTCATAATTTTAATTGAGTAAGAGAAGAATAATAATAATAGAATATATAGATACAGAGATTACATTGATAATACAATTCTTTCGATTACATACAAACAAATTACAGCTTAACTTCTTCTTCCAAATAATTACTTGGGCCTTAGAGGGGAATATACACTTCAAATCAGTATATTTGTATATATCGTACCAGATCTACGTCTGCATTGGCATATCTACATTGTGGTTTCAGCCACTATTTGTACTCACAGTAGTTGTTAAATACTCATCGATGTATCGTTGGGCCCAAGATGACTTTGATGGCTTTAGGTATATACGCTGTGTAATTTAGAAGCTGATCAGGTTACATTCACATATATATAAAGAGAATTATATTATTCCAATTATATTAATCAAAACAAACAATATTTGGTGATTGAGGTATGTAAGAAACAGCGGTTCTGATGTAATGTGGTTTTGGCTAGCCCGATTACTTAATCTCTTGTCTATTTGGGGTATGCTCAGGGTGATTAAGTCCTCCGGAACTCGGGATTCACAGGTTGGGACAGCCATCTCTTAGTCGTGGCCATATCCAGAAAAGGTGTATG